ATATATATAGGACTAACACAGACCATAAAGTGTGATGCAGCCGCCTTCGAAGAAACTAAGAACAAAATGCCCACTACTTGGAAAATGAGCAATGAAAGTTTTGTCATTTTATACTAGATTTCATCGACTATAGATAGGGACGTTGGCTTTGTCATCCATTCATTTTCCACTCATGAACTATTCTGTTCTTCTTGCCGTTCTAAGTTTTCCACTATCACAAAAACACTAGTGTGGTCCACTACTACACACAAAGATCAGCAGCCAGTGATACGAAACTAGATATTAAGATTCAGAATCGAAGAAACTGGATAGGAACATTGCATTGAACACGACGACCAAATTACGAAACCGCTTCCATCGGATCCCTTATTTCATGGAAATCACTCTTGGAAATAAAAAAAAGTAGAAGGATTATCATCTCCAGAGGCGAGAATCCATAAATAGTACAGCTTATGCGGAGATCGGTCATATGATTGTCAACAAGAGATGGAACTGGTTCGACATTGACATCTTTCCATCGTTTTGCACCGTCTTTGTGTTTTTCGTACAATGATTCACTTTCATCGCAAAATGAGAACGGGGTACAGTATAAGTGTGGAAAGAAGGTAGGATATACGTAGCGAGTCCACTGCTACTATTGCTTAATCCACTTACGACTGAAACTATGGAGATTTGACGGAAGACTAAGATATGACGACAGAAGACCTCTAAACCCGTGCTCTTTAGATGTCATCAACCCGAATACAAACAGGGAAACATTAATCTGGCAGGAAAGAAAACCTCCTGAAAAGGATAGATACGGCGATACTACGTTAAACAAATGGACATCAACGCTATTTGCAAATTTGCCTTGTAGCAAAATGTACATCGATGTCAACGGAGGAGGATTTGTGAAGGTAACGCAATGCTGTCGTTGTCTTCTCGATGTCTTCACGAGACAAAATTCCGCTTTCTGCACCACTAGGCGAGTGACAATTTCTCGCTGTAGCAAAGAACCAATGACGGAGAGATTTTGTTCAAATTTCTTTGCATTCATAATATCTTTACCGGACCCTACCATTCCCGATAACACTACCAAGCATCCTTCCTGCAGATGTTCGAGTTGCAATTATAGTCTTGAGGCCCGGCACACCTCCTGGCGTAGACAATGTTTCCAGTGATCTTTTACAATCTCGGAACCATCACCTACACGCTCTTCTTCTCAAAACATTATCCATTACTATTACCACATGCCGTCATCGCATCTAGACTTCGTGCATTGGGTACGTTTTCCTCGCATTCATCGTCCACAAAGTTCTTCGAAAAATTCGCGTGTTGTTTCTTCTGATGCATGAGGATTTCCTTTTCTTTACGAATACTGTAAAATGTAGATCGAGCCGATTCTGTATTCGATATTGGAGACAGCAGAACTAAGGCGTTCCCAAGCGAACTGGAAGAGAGCATTGAGGAAGAAATCGGATAAACATTTTGCTTCTTGATGGACTGTTGATGGCATCCTCCATCCTAAATAAACTCTTTCTGCGTGATGATGGATAATTCCTCTCCAACCTTAGCTCTGCTGACGATTTTGTCATCTTTTCGAAGACTATCGCAGAATCATAAACAGTGTTTACTGAGTGAAGGAGGGAAAAAATTGGACGGACAATCAAATGGCAAAATAGCTAATCCATGAAGAATGAGTAGTACGAAGAAAAAATACTATATTCCTAAATGGATCATCGACTGGAAAAACGACCTACTATAACCTATCGGGGAGAGTAGAATGGTAGAAAACGACGAGCAGTAACGGACGCCTTCGGGCCTCTAACAGAGGTCACTTGTTAGCTTACTGACTCGATAACTTTCACAATTCTTCTAGCTCTGTACTAGGTAGTAGAAACATATAAAACATAAACAGAAACATAAACATGATACATGAGCTACATCGACGAAGCTACTCGCAGTATATAGGAACTCATACATGCCTTTTGGAGGTGAACTGCTACACTCAACACCTGGGTATGTTTTCACAGTTCACAGTTCAAATCTTCGAATGTACCACCTTCGAGACCCAGCAGAATAAAGAAGTAAACAGAATTATTCTGTTGAGCATTCAAACGGGAAGAAGATAGCTGAACGGAAAGAATAATTAAGTGGACCTCGAGAAATCAAGACTTTCTGTTGGGAAATCATGGAAAAGATGAATGAACGTGTTCATTACACACATTAACTGGCTACCATCAGAACTGAAATCAAAATTCAGGTCTCCGAACCGTTGCCGAAGCAACGTACGAGTCCAGTCACCTTCACGAATGAAGATTGAAAGGTAGGGCGAATGAAAGACGTGTTCAGATCCGAAATACACGTAATAACGAGTCATCTGTGTATATAAGTAACATAAAAGCTATCCCGGCACATTATTTAGTGAAGCTGAATGATTAAGACTCTTATAACCGTACTTGGTGTGGGCAATTCAGGCACAGGAGGGAGAGATGGCTGCCGTTGAGATGATGGAGGCGGAAGGGAACTGAAAATGAAAGCGTTAAACGTTTTCTTTTTAAAGTGGAGCTATTTTACGAGAAGTGTTACGTAATAACAGGATAGCCAAGATTGAAAAACAATTTAAAATGTTGTATGATCGACATCCTTCTTTAGCGATTGGCGGCTTCTGAACCACCGAGGAAAGAACAATCTCAGTTCACACGAGATGCCATTTCATCCGCAGTTAAAAACTTCGTCAATCACTAGGTTCCACATTACGAAGAATTCCACCTACCGTCGCGCCATCTCATCCAGCTGTCTCCGCACAGGAGTGAAGTCGTACGTTCCATTAATGTAATTTTGAGATAGTGCCGGACCAAGCACTTGAGGCGCCATAGAGCTGAAATTTTCAGGAATAGACCGCATCGGGACTTCCTATCCGCTTTTTTGAAAAACATGACAACAAAACATTAAATTTTCTATTTCGAAACCGACTTTCTCTAAACCTCGGTGTGACTAATCAATATGTATTCTTTCTTGATAAGCTTGCACGGGGTTGATAAATATATTTATTTTCGGCTAAAGCCGAAAATAAATATATTTATCAACCCCGTGCAAGCTTATCAAGAAAGAATACATATTAAATTTTCTCTTAAAGCAGAAATCGACGAACAACAACGGTCGAATATACTGAAATGAGACTCCTGTAGAAATCGCATCTCTTCGAGGATTACCATTGAAGAGACGATGTTAAAAAAGCCTAACTACCGGAATGGGTAAATCCAAGGTTTATAGATGGATGGTTTATATATGGGGTCCAAGGAAAAGGTTTATAGATGTTGATGGTTCTATCCTAGAGCATGGCCTCAAAATCGATCAATAATTTGTATTTAATATCAACCTTATTTTCGAACACCTGCCGTGCACAGTGATCATGAAATTATCCAAGGAAAAGAAGAAAACCTTGTCATTGAGGACTGGCGATATCTGTCCGGGCGACTACTCTTGGTCATCTGGCTTTGCTCCATCAGGTTGTCGATCATCTGACTTTGTGCCATCGCCTCACTGCCCGCGTCGCGAATGCCCAGACAGAATCCGGCGGCCGTCGACTGGGACATCGCTGGAGGGCGACTGACGGTAGGGAACGTACCTAGATTAGTTCTTCATTCGGTTGCCATCGACTTATGAGCATTACCAAAGCATACACTACTAAATACACCATTTTAAAACGACACAGGTCATCGTACACCATTAAATTTCTCCATTATTTTTCAGTTATTTTCCTAAACTGCATTGATTAATGGCTACAAGCACTGCCTACATCATATACTATTGTTCCTCTGAGTTTTCTCCTTCCTTAGAGGGATTGATAGATGAAATGGCTAGATAAAACGACATCAACCACAATGATGCTGAGATATTTGCAAAACTTCGTACTGTAGGTGTCTGCGGTGGGGAAGGAACGCGCTATTACCCTTTCCGGGGAGTGACGCGTTCACCACCACACCATGCGGGTCCTTCGTTTTACCTCTCTCTAAGCTACAATTTAACATCTAACTGACATACTTCCACGAGAAATACGGCTTCTATGTCATGATTGTCGCATTCAAAACCGAAGTACCACACCATGGCAATGCTTCGAGCAATTTTGACATCAAATTTTGGGATCAAGTACATTGGGATTACGGACTAGAGTTCCAAGTCTTCTTTTTTCTACTATGATATTAGCGCCAGTTCTCATTTTTTCAAGACTTCAAATTGCACTATAACGGAAATACCCACTAGTGATCATGCTGGTGTTCAGCGGCAACATAGTCATCGACTGACTCATCTTCTCAGCGAATTTCAACTTGGACTTCGGTACGAGCGAGTGCGGGAACTCTCCACCCGGTCTCACCGGTGTCGCCAGGATCGTCTCCGTCCATTGGGCTTCCAGTTTCGGCTTTCTAAAACACGACATTTTTGGGATGGGATAAAAAGGCACAATTCACAATAACCAGTGCTTGTCTTCCTCTCAAGTATACAGGATTATAATTTACGACAGGTTTAAGCAGCTCATTCACAACGACATAACCAACATAATATAATTTGTTATATTATTTTGACGTCCATGTGTATTACGCTTTTTTTTCAGATCTTAACAACCGTTGTTAGCAATCGTACGGTAGGAAAATAAACAAGATTTGAAACTTTACTTGAGATGTTCGATGCGGAGATCGAGTTGTTTTTGCTGGAAAGGCATTGCGAACTGCTCTCGGCCTACCATTTCCAGCCATGATATCAGCGAAAGGTCAGTTGATGATAGCCGAGGCCGATTCGACAGGATATCAGTTGGATGAGGACCGTTCTCAATACCTGAAGCACCGGCACACTTCAGATGAGTTTCAAGGCACCGTTTAGCTTCAGCAAGACCTTCGATGAGCTTTAGATCGACTCTTCTTTTTCCAAGTTCGCAACAGATTTTCTCATTTATCCGTCTATAACAGAAGAGCAACAAAATCACTGAATTTAATAAAATAGATTGTATTTTCAAAACTGTTGACTTAGCGAATGGAATATAGGGCTTGGTGACTCGTCAGTACGACCTGATGGATGGTCTGTGCCTTGCGGACGGAGCGCTATGCTATAAATTAGCCTATCTCTGAATGTTATTGAAAAGCTAACGAAATCTCATAAGATGATAATGTTTGTTGAAAAAGTAGAGGTACCGGACTACAAAAACAAAGCCTTTCAACTAAAATATCGACCCACTGGCGAAGACGCCTAGATTTTCGCCACGTGAGGTACACATTGAAGTCAACGGACGCAAACTGTTTCGACGCGAAAGAGACCTTTCCTTTTTTGTACTTGTCTAGTAACTGGACTTTTCCATCTATTCTCTGCGATGATGAAACTCGTCCATCATCTGAACGCGGTGCTATCGTCCTTTGGAAGGTTTGCTAAGACATACGGGACTACTGCTAATTTTGCGGTGCATAGGGTTAGGAATATGCCTAATTTTTCCAGACGCATTATGAGGGCAGAAAAATTAGACAGAATCAATTAGATCAGACAATTAGATTTTGTAGTTAAATAAGGGCAGACGGAAGCTTCTCATCGATTACGTCTGATGGGACACCTGCGTTGAAAAAACTACCGATTGGATACAAAAAATAAAGTAAATAAACTCTAAAATCAATAGAAAACTGAGCGACAGGCGAAACGAAGGACCCGCATGGTGTGGTGCTGAACTCGTTATCCCTAGGAAAGCGTAATATCGCGTTCGTTCCTCACCGCAGACGCCTGCGACCCGGAGTTTTGTCATTGTCATTGTCATTGTGGTTGTATCGCACATAATACCCTGCCGTGAAAAATTATAAAAGGCAGTAAATAAAAGGTAAACATTATGGTTTTCAACTACAGTCTCAGTTTAATTGGGTTCAATGTCGATTTGGTCTCACCAAATCAATCCCGTTGACGGGTGAATGAAGATAGCACTGATCGATAGAAAACCAGTTGAGAGACAGACAAACGCATGGTGACGCGCATGGTGTGGTGGTGAACGCGTTAGCTCCCGGAAAGGGCAATAGCGCGTTCGTTTCCTACCGCGGACACCAGCAGTCCGTAGTTTTGCAAATATCTCAACATCACTATGGTTGCATCAGACATAATACCCTGCCGTGAAAAATAATAAAAGAAAGTAAATAAAGGGTTGACATTATGATTTCCAAATAAACTCTTTTCGACAAAATAAAAGGCGTAAACTGCATGCATTTAAATCAATGCCTACCGTCACTTTTGTGCTCAGAAATTCAGAGCATATTTAAGTGGCTAGTGCTAAAATAATTATGGATTATGTAATAGTGAATATAATCACAAGCACATTTTATGATAAATGTTACTGCTGACGTTACTGATGCTTGGCCTTTAAAGCTCATGTCTTTCTTAAAAATTTTCAATATAGCGCTTATTCCTAACACAATAATTTATAGCTGGTTGAAGTGACCCTTTCAGCATAAGAAATTTGCACTGTTTTCCTTCAAGAGTTCAAACCTGAAATGGCCTGGAAGCATCGGTCAGGGAAGAAATACTTAACCCGCAATGAAGGGATGCTTCGACGGACTTCATGGTGGAGACGTCAGTCTTCATGATGGAGAAGGTCATTGAGGTCTACTACCAGTTGACCACCGAATTTGCAGCGTGTACATCCAGAAGGTCGGAAGAAAAGTGTATTCGTCTTGCACGACAACGTTCTAGCTCATGTTCCACATAACTTGAAGGACATACGCTATGAAAACCATCCTTAACCACCATATTCATCGCGCCTTCCAATGACCAACAATTCCCTTAAGCATGTCCACAATCTGAGCAAATCGCCAATTACTAAATCGCTCCAGATATCCCCTTAGGAAATTCGCAGCCTCTAAACTTCAGAATTTCCTGTTACCAAAATGTACGGACTTGTGTGCCGCTCACAAATTTTGCACATTCTAAAGAAGATATTTCGAGTTATAAAAGTGTTCTGTAGTCGAATGATGGCGTTCCGAGGTTACGGCCCAAGACCTGCCAGCCATTTCTCTAGCACCAATACAATGATTAACATCGTGATTTAGGATACTTTTTGCTCTCGAACAGTTGTGTGAAACAGTATGTTCTCAACTGGGTCTCCTGAGCCGAGAGAGTTCGATATTTTTGCTCGGAAGGTCGGATAAAAGCAAACGATGCTAAGAATCATTGCCATTATGGCACGAACATAGTCTCTAACCGGCAAATGATGACAGTCTGAAGATCAAGACTCTTGAGGCATCAGGGGAAGAAAATTTTACCGAGCCAGAAAATTGTCATCCCAACCGCAGTTTTACCGGAGGCACGCAGCAATGTTCGTGATTCATAAAGACAGACGATCCATGTGTCAAAGCAAGCAACGAAAAATCTAGTCAAAAACTGAATTATACCTTTTTCAATCAAATTGCTGAAAGGCAAAGCGAACTCATTTTTGGTCGACGTCTCATCGAGATTACATGGAAAGTGACGTATGTACTGATGACAGTTTTTTTAAAATCAAAACTTCATTTCATGGACGGCACTGTCATCGTTCTGAGACGAAATAACCAGGAGGAGGAGGTAGAAGACACCGAGATAAACTTCCGCATTCCAGTAGCAATGAATTTGGCAGGTTAGCTAAAGCAAATTGCAGCAAGCACTAATGGCATATCTCTAGATGAATGAAGGAAAGCCTCCTTCATGGTTTTATGATGTCCTCAACCCCGTAAGCTCTCTAGCCACGAAACATTTGTCGTTAATTACAGATAAAAACCAGTACTATCGTATTGAAATCGTGGATGAATTCTACTGCTTTCTAGGCTCCGCGAAATCAACGTCAGTCAGATATCTGTTAAGAGACGTATGATCATGTGATTTACTGTAATGGATATAATGACGTGATCCTTGGTAATGGAATTTTTCAACAGCACGCAAGGTTGTTACCAAACATTTATTCAGTTACTGTTTCGGCGCTTTCATCTTCTTCTCAGTCAGTGGCCGATAATGATGGATGAAGGATCGAAACGTTAGCCGAATAAATGTTTGTCGAAGCAGTTCTCTAGAAGATCTCTTTTGATGAGTAGTTTCCTTGACGTGGTGTTCCGGACCCTAAAAATTATAAAGTTTTGCCGGTAGTTGGTGCGACGACTCAGAAAAGTTTATGGTCTCGCCCGGACAAGTGACAGTCCTTGCTACTACGAGTCGGGTCCATGGCTATGTCGTCTAGGGTGTAGAACGATAGTATGGAAACTTTAGTACGTTGAAAAAATCTTAAACGAGACGGTGACGTTATAGCATGGCAAATTTCTTTCACAGGAAACATAATAAACATCGATGTTCAGGTTCTTGTTCTGCAATGGAGAAAATCAAATTAACCTATTTGTCTTAGAAAATCGAATGGCAGAAGGCAGGCATTCAGCGCTGAAGTGACGAAGTCCTCATTATTTGTAAATGAAAGGCTACGTGTCATATTTCACGAAGTTCAGTTGCCGGTTCGCATGTGATGTTTTTCGAAGTCGAGAGTAGATTCTGCCTCTTTGAACTTCGCCCACATGTTATCTTCATATCTCTCATGAGTCACTTTTCTTGATCAGCAAACAAGAGGTTGTTAGTACAACAGCTCAGACTGACTCTCAAGAGTCAGTGATACACTTCTAAAAAAGAAGAGAAATTCCTCGACGAACAAACGGAAATTGTACCGGCCATTATCTACAATTAAAATCAGCAGGTAAAAGAAAAGATACTTTGATGGTAAGGGGTTAAGGAAACAAGTTCTGCACTTTGAAAACATCTAAAAAGGCTGCTTTCTCTAGATGGGATTCTACAGCAGAGGATTCTCGTTCAGAAGTGGAGAAGCATAGTTCTTCACAAATACGGTGACAGGATAACGCTCCAGTTTACTAAAAGGCTCGTTTTTTGATTTCTCTACCCTCATCGTCTTCAACAGAAGAGTTGAAAATTGTAATCATCTGAATGGAGAATTTCTCTGCGATCAATAAAGGCCAGAGTACTCAGACGACTTCGAAGAAGTACAATAATGTGAAGTAATAGCTAGAACTTTTCATAAAAATAACATAGTGCTTTTCATGGTTGTTTCCAGTGAAAACATAGAGCAGGAGAAGAAATGTACTAGTGGAAGAAGAGCAGCATGAGACCTCATAATTTTGCTGACGTTTTTAACTCAACAGATTTCACGCTCATCAGTTAGCTTGAGATTGTCTCGATACCGTACCAACGCTCTTCTTGTCATCCCGAGAGACAATTGTGGGATCAACTTAATTGATTTTCAAACTTTTTAGAGAGAACCACCTAACAGAAAGCCTAAATTGTCCTCTTACTTAAGTAATTCGGTGTTCCTCATATCTACATCTCAAATCGCAACATTGCGACCTTCGTCATGCAAGGAACTGATGGCTTTATAGATGATGGTAACAAGAGAAGAGAATGAAATGAAGGTTGTAGTCTGGAACCGCAAAATTCGTAAGCAGTATTCATCCAAGTATCCGGTATGAAAAATGAAAAAATAAACTAGCGAAAAAAAATACACGGAAACCTTTAATTTCTCCGACAGCTTGTGCTTGACAGTAGTCCACGCAGCCTTCGTAGAAAACTCCTTTCGCGATAAGAGAAATCAAGCGATCATGAGTTGCATGATGCTCTCCCTAGATGAAATCAGTTCTAATCATAGTTATCAGGTTTAAAGGTCTAAATTAGACCAACAACGAAAACGAAGAATACAAGAGTCGTAGAAACTATGGTGCTTTACGACTGTCTCAATTAACTGAAGAGAGGTGCAACGAATACCTGCCGGTCTTTATCCTTTCCAGTAGTTGGCAGCAGATGAATAACGAGAGCTTGGATCTTAAAAATAGGTGCGAATCGATTTGTTATTTCTCCACATATTTTCTATACAATTTCCACTATCTTAATTTCCTAATAGAGAAATACAAACAAAGTTGTAGTTTCGCATCCTCCATACTAAGCTTTGTAATTCCATAAGACTGAAGAGATAAAGCAGTTTTCATCCATCAAAATGTATCTACGGTCCGAGAGAAGGTTGATTCGAAAATTCTGTGGATGCTGTGCATTGATCAATCCCCCTGAGCGATGCGCCATACATTCTACTTAATTAAGCATCATTTAGAGGTGATTGGATGCATGTCTGGCCTTTACAATGACTCGCGGTGGTCTAACGATGTATCGAGCCAGTGCTGCTATCTTCCCAAACAAGTCTGGTACCAATTTGCCAATCCCGGAGGAATTGGAGGCTTGGTGGGTCATGGGCGCGATGATCAATTGATTATTCGTGTGTGTTGAAGGGCGCCTCCTACCACTGCACCACATGACCCCTTGCTGAACGTTATGGATACAAAAACATTACAAATACAAAAACATAAAAACTCATTTGTGCTACCAAAGATAAGCGAAAGACTATGGAATTTCCTTAACAGATTTGGATGAAAAGCATGAAAGCATTAGAAGAACAAAGAATGTTCAGTTATTAATCCACTTACTTTATGAAAGCATTCCACTCTGGCCGATGAAGGATTCCAATTCTTGAAGTCGGCGTGCTCGGACAGTTTCGGGAGTGTGAGTAAAGCGCAGAGTTGACGATAGTCCTCTGGTGAGGGACAGATTTGCTCCAGATCCTTCAGACATTCAACCAATTCCTGAATCGCTATAATAAACTCCTTTGTTACTTCACGTAATAACGAAGACATTTGAAGAAGTTCAAGTTAATCTTCTTGGAGTTCATTAATCTGACTGAAATGCCACGATATTCGTCTTCCTATTATGAGGCACTTGACACAGTAATTTAAGACATGACCAGGAATCTGCATAGTGCACGAGGAGCACACAGATTCTGGTTGCACTAGAACGGCGGATAGCACCAGTTCTCCCAGGATATTTGCGAAAAAGTCTAATCTAATTGTCGGCGGAACGCACTATTTGTTTGGCATGCCTAATTTTCCACATCTTGGCACACACGGGTTTGATCGTCGACCTGAGTCTGAACTATGGATTCGTTTTTTGTGTTTGGTGTGCGGAATACCCTTAGTATTTTTCTCCCTACAGAGCCTCTAACAGGTTCGAGTCATCATGTCCAAGCCCTTGTTAGTTTCGAGTCCCCATACTGGAGAAACGACAAATTCAAAAATTCTAACATAAACACGTCGTTGTTTGTCCTTTTAATTATATTTTCCACACAATTAAAGCCCTGCCCGCAATCCCCTCCTATTCTTGCGCTATGACGCTGTTTCATTCATCACTTTTTAATTTGGACAGTCTTTGTGTGGAGCACGGAAGAAACGTCAGTAACGAACCCATTTTTAATGGGCATCGTTTTATTGACGTAGGAATGAAGGCAAACCGCACATAAGCTCTTTCGAAATCAGCCAACATTCCTTCCGCCTCATTAATGCTTGATACCATAAGACGACCATGGTTAGCAAAGCGAAAATGGTGCTGCTGCTGGTCATCGATCTTCTTCCATGTTAACTCACCCAGTTTTCGCAGAGGTTATCGAGGATGACTGCGAAAGATTCTATGGCGATATGGTAAAGCTTCGTCGAACCACTTTCCTCAATGAAAATCTGACTATGCGTACATATATATATATATATATATATATATATATATATATTTGCGCTTGGATGACCCGTCTTCATTGGTTGTGCGGGCCCCAGAATATTCTCCATTTTTCGGAGTTTTTCTGGCATAGCCATTGTGTTTACCTGGAACTTCAGGTGAGTCTGAGCAAAGTCTGCCACACATAGTCACAGCCACAGCCAGTCGTCGCCCTTGTTGATCAGAGGGAGAATTGCCACCATGCGACTGGTTTGATACTAGGACGGGGGTGGGTCCTGGTATTGCTGGGCTTCCGGATATATATCACCTGTATCACCTGTAGTCCCGTTGATCGTCGAGTGACTCGAGCGGGCATCAGTAAATCTTCCATTTTTTCCTGTGTGCAAGAGTAGCTCAGGGGTTTTGCTCGCTCTAAGAACTCGTCGAGCATCATATCTTTCTTCAAGGCTCTTCGTGAAGCACTCTGACCATCGGGTCGGTGGTCTTCCTTCAGTACATTTGACATCCCGAGGAATCCAGTCACTAACGGCTCTTGTTCATCGGTTGTCATACATACGCACTTTGTATCCGGCCCACCTTATCTTCGACTGTTTGGCGTACAGAATGGCATCTTTGATTTTTGATGGTTGACGCAGATCGAAGCTTCGGATCCCATCCCCTACTTGTGTGGAACGGGATACTCCTAGCATCGTCCTTTCGACTGCGCGCTCGATAACGCTGAGTAACCTTTCATCCTGCTTACGCAGCGACCAGGTTTCTGATGCGCACGTTAGAGCTGGAAGTACCGTTAAGTCGAAAAGGTGGGCACGGAGTCGGGTGGTCTTTGTCCTCTTCACTACATCCTCGATGCTCTTGAAAGCTCCCCAAACCGCTCGTTCCCTTCTGCTCAGCTCTGGAGCTAGGTCGTTCATCATATTGATTTCCCGACCTAAACAGACATAACTGAGGCGTTCGGAGATATTCGTTCCGTTGATCGTGAATTGGGCATGCGAAACCAATGCGTACCTCAGGAACATCGTTTCTGTGAGATTTAGTCGAAGACTGATTTTTCCACAGGTTTTATCAAAGTCGTCAAGCATAGTTCCGCTTCGCTAATGTTTGATGTTGTAAGGACGATGTCATCAGCAAAGCGAAGATAATGTAACTACCGACTATCGATTTTCACTCCAATATTATCCCACTCCAATGTTTGCATGACGTTCTGGAGGGTGGCGGTAAATAATTTTGGCGAGATGGTATGGCCTTGCCTGACTCCCCTTTTGACGTTAATGTTAATAACGTTGTAGTATGGTGAATAACTGACTAATGAATTAAGGAAGTCCCAGTTTACGGTGGTTCTGGGACTTCGGTTTTGAAATTTAGCGGCTTTTTCCCCTTTCCGCGAGAAACAGAATCTTGCGCGAAGGAGACGATGGTCTGATACCGTGTAGAATTTTGGGACAACAGCGGAAACGGTTAGGCAAAACCTTCTGTTTACTACGATGTGGTCTATTTCGTTATGGTACTCCTTGGGAGACTCTCACGTCCAGCGCTAAGGGTGGGGCTTCTGGAATTGCGAGTTGCCATGGATTGTCTTGGTCGCTATGATAAACTCAGAGAGCCGCTCACCCTGTTCGTTCCATTCTAATCCGTGGGTTTCAATGTCACGTTCTTGAGACGTTCTTCTTGGTCCAATCTTGGCGTTGAAATCTTCAATGATGACCTTGAATAATCTTTCGAAACCGACCTTCCCTAAACCTCGGTGTGACTAATCAATATGTATTCTTTCTTGATAAGCTTGCACGAGGTTGCACGAGATATTTATCAACCTCGTGCAAGCTTATCAAGAAAGAATACCTTGAATAATGTTTGGTCTTCTCTGTAGAACTTCTCTAAGAACGCTTCGACTTCTTCTTCATCATAGTTTGATGTCGGCGCGTAAACGACGAAGGTTGTCAAAGCCGGAATTGATCCACATTTTTTAATCGTAAATGTGCGATTCGGGTTGTAAGCTGTTCCAATGAATCGATGTTCACGGACAAATTCGTGCTGACGAGAACGCCGACGCCGCCGACTCCTCTACTGTTGCATGTTCCGAAGAAGTGTTCTTCTCTGGTGTCACAGACGGTGAATGAGTGGCGTCGTCTCGTCTCGACCAGGCCGATGACGTCGCACCTTATCCTTCTTGTTTGCATGAGTAAGTCTTCTATCGAGGACTCGGATGCAAGGGCACGTGCAATGTAGGCACAGATCGTCACCATAGTTCTTCGAAATCCAGGCAGCTTCCATTAGCCCTGAGATTTTAGCAGCCTCTTTGTACTCGTCCTACTCAACGCTGCGAAATTGGGGGCTCTTTCAGGGTCAGGAAAATGAGGCCCGTTTTTTTAAACTGTGTTTAGCATTATTGATACCCATGTATAGCGTGCTGGGCCCTGAACGTGAAGGCTGGGTGTATTCACGAGTAGCTTATCAGGCTCTTCCAGAGTGGAAATAGAGCTTATTTGCTGGAGGCGACTCCTAAGCGCCTCCATAGACTCCCAGTCACTTGGTTGCAGACTTTTTGCCGAATTGACTCAAAGAATATAATCCGCATAAGCAAGAACGCACCCACACAGATATGCATGAATATGCCTAGCAAATACAGAAAGTATGTGCCAAATCAGCGCAGCAGAAACAGGCAGTCCATCTACTGGATCCACCTGCGTCTCAGGGAAGCAAAGGTCGATTTTGGTCTGCGAATAACCCCCTGTCCGCCACCTGGGGACGCGCCACGTAGCCTCGCGGCTAACCGGCTCGAGAGCCCTCATATGAGGGAGATCCGTGGTCCGGATATATATATATATATATGTATATATATGTATAAAGGATAAATGGATAAAGGTCTCGTCGCTGATCTATCCCTGAGGGATGCATCATGCATTCGACTTCATTAAGCATCATTTGGAGGTAACTGAATGCATATCTGGCCTTTACAATGACTCGCTGTGGCCTTCCGATGTATCGGGCCAGTGCCGCTATCCCCGCAGACAAGTCCTGTACCAAATATATATATACATATATATAAACAATGGTAATAGTTGTATAAATAGCGACGAAATTTTGGTTTCCACGAGAGCTTTTCTCTCGATTGCACGGAACAGCCTCTTCGAGCAGATAAAGTGAGATAAGGCAGTCATTTGTTATCCCACGACACTTCAGCGAGTTTCTTTATCGTGTGGATGTGGTCTATTGCTTTGAGTTCTTTCCGGTTATTACTTGCATGCATGGTTCTCCTTCACCTAATGGTTTCTCTGTTAACAAATACTCGAGTGAAGAATTTACCGATAAGACACAGTGAAAAGATTAGGAGATAGCTGACAGTGCTTCTTGGATTTCTGCTCTTGTGCGGTAACACTAACCTGTTAACCTACCACTAATTAGGAACCTTAAATTCTGACAGGTGGAATGTAAACACCGAACGTGTTAATGAGGACTGGCGGTGGATTTCACAGATGTTTGGGCCTACTATCCGTAATGGGTGCTGTACAGTAATCTCTCTGGCCGAGAATACATGCAAGACTTCTAAACCGTTAAAGCGACATATTCGTCCCCGCTGACACCAGCCGTGGATGATTGCCTCTACTGTCCATTTGGAAGCTAACAGTGTTCAGTATGGAGTGCCGAAGGCTATCACCTAAGTGTAATTTTCGAGGTATCGGCGGGCGTTGCAAATTCTTTTCGCGACAAGTGTAACGTCAAGAAGTGTCCAATGTAAATTGGTGAATTCCTGAACCTATTTAATTGCTTCTAAAAGCTCGCCCTTTAGCACTAATATAAACGTGGTGGTTAATCCTGCCCATTAGCCACAGATGTTTTCGGGTAGTATCCCAAAGACCAGTTAAATATTTGAATAAATATCCCCAATATACAACACTATTGCAATTTCTTTAAATTTGTGGCTGTTCTAATTTGTTCGACAAAAAGGACCCTGTGCAGAGGCGATAGTTCGATTCCATTTAAAAATTGAGAACAACTGCAATAGCGGTTAAGGATAGCAACTTTTCCACACCAAACACTGGAAAGCGTTTCTGGACATGCGAGTTACACGGACGGTTTTGGTTACCAAGATGAACTTATACAGCCTTTTACACGGCTCATAGTATTTCTATCTGGG